GTGTCGCATGCTGGAGGCCTGAGAAAGGCTTGCCACAGCCAAGCACCAGGCACTAAAGTCCTAATGGAGCACTTGGGATCATCTGTCCCAGGGTCACTGTAGCCATCCGTGCCTGGCAAACACTTTATACAAAACAATGAATTTTCACCCATGTCCAAACTGTGGTCTGTAGGGTCTGGGATCCTCCCTCAGGCCCCAGTATTAATGAATCTCCCAGGACGTGCATTAGGCTACAGACAACAGAAAACTCCACCAAGCATGGTTTAAACAAATGAAGTTTCTTTCTGTGTGTGCAACGTGTCGAGGGAGGTGGTCTGGGGCTGTAACAGCCTTGATACAAGAGTTCCCAAAGATCCAGGTATCCCTGGCTTCCTCGTGGCAGCCTTGGTGTCTGGCTATTGTCCTCACAGTCATAAGATGGCTGCTTCACCTCTAGCCATCACGTCCACATTCCAGGCAAGTATATTTTTCTTGGAATCTTTGCCTTTTTTTTTTTTTTTTTTTTTTTTTTGAGACGGAGTCTTGCTCTGTAGCCCGGGCTGGACTGCAGTGGCCGGATCTCGGCTCACTGCAAGCTCCGCCTCCCGGGTTTATGCCATTCTCCTGCCTCAGCCTCCGGAGTAGCTGGGACTACAGGCGCCCGCCACCTCGCCCGGCTAGTTTTTTGTATTTTTAGTAGAGACGGGGTTTCACCGTGTTAGCCAGGATGGTCTCGATCTCCTGACCTCGTGATCCGCCCGTCTCGGCCTCCCAAGGAATCTTTGCCTTTTTAATTCAGGAAGGGAAACTATCCTTGGGATCATCTGCCTTCACCTCATTGGCCAGAGCTGGGTCACATGCCCACCACCAACTGCAAAGGAAGCTGGGAAATTGAATCTTTTAATTTTCTGCATTCTATGATAGAGGAAGGCCAGAGGAAAGGGGGTTGGAATGCATGTTTGAGAGATGGCACAGAGAGTTTACTGGAAAGTCTCAGCTGTGTTCTAACGGTGGCAACCTTCAGAGTCAGTAGCATCTCTCACCCACCCTAGCATCTCCCAGCTGTCCATCATGGGCTGATTCGTTTCATCCCATCCTCAAGTCTGTGTGTGGAATCATGGGCTCCCATGACTTACTGTGGTCCTCAGTGCTCAGTTCCTGAAGCAGGAATAGGGGGAGGCCAGTTCAGCCTCCAAGCCTGGGCTCCATCTCTCGGGACTAGGCCTGATTTCAGTGTTGCTTCCCACCTATTGTTGGGTTTCTAGATCCAAAAGCACCCGGTTTCGAAGTCTGTCTTCAAAGGAAGACCCCCAGATAGAGTCACCGGATAAAACAGAGGACACCCAATTAAATGTGAGTTTCAGATACACCGTGAATAAGTTTGTACTGTAAATGTTTGCATGGGACATACCGTACTTCAACTAAAATGTCACTGGCTGTTTATTAGAAATGCACATTTAATTGAGTGTCCTGTTTTGTGGTTGTTGTTGTTTGGTTTTTGGGGGTTTCTTTTTTTGGGGAGGACATAGTCTTGCTCTGTCGCCCAGGCTGGAGTGCAGTGGCGTGATTTCAGCTCACTGCAACATCCACCTCCCAGGTTCAAGTGATTCTCCTGCCTCAGCCTCCTGAGTAGTTGGGATCACAGGCACACACCACCACACCCAGATAATTTTTGTATTTTTTGTAGAGACGGGGTTTCACCATGTTGGCCAGGTTGGGTTCTATCTCTTGACTTCGTGATCCGCCTTCCGTGGGCTCCCAAAGTGCTGGGATTACAGGCATGGAGCCACCGAGCCCGGCCTGGGTGTCCTGTATTTTTATTTCTTCAATCTGGCAACGCGGCCGTCCGAGTCTCAGCCTCAGAACGGAAACTGCTGAACTGAACCCCTGTGCAGAGAGTGCTGCTCTTAGGTTAGGCTGCACAACACTGGCGTTCTGACAGACCAAAGTGGTTACATATCAGCACTTACATACACTCCAGCCTCATCATTTTCACATAAAGAACAAATGAGCCTCCTGCCACAGCTTAGCCTTTTGGAGACAGAATGGGGTAAATGGCGGGAGGGTTGAATCCTCACTCCCTCTCTTCCCAGCTAGGAGACCTTGGGCCAGTCACTTGCCCTCTCTGAGCCTCACTTTTTTCTCACCTGTAAAGTGGGTGTGGTCACAGTGAGGACTCCTTGAGGCCTGCGTGTCCACAGCAGAACCGAGCCTGGCAAACAGCCAGCGTCATCACTGTCCCTGTGGCTTTCTGCAAACTCCAGCCTACCCTGCCTGTCTCCTGCAGGTGGCTATCTCTGGACAGGTGCAGGCTTCAGGGTGCATGTGGAGGGGAAGTGATGGTGGGGGTACCCCGTGTTTGCAGAGCTGGCTGGAGACCACGGCATTCCTATGGCTTACATGCCCCCACCCCCACACCCCTGCCCCAGCGCTGCTGAACCTCGACGTGTGTGTCTGAAGGTTTCCATCCGTGCCTCTTCAGAGGTTGCCCAGGAAGGATGTGCCCACCTTCCCCTTTGCTGGGTAGTTTGTGTAACATAGCCAGCAGGCACCTCGAGGTCTTGCTTCCACACCTCTCGCCCGCTGTCGGAGCTCCATGCGTTGAGCTTTAACGGGAGTGGAGCCACCTCTAGCAGGTACCTGGGCGTACCTGTTATCACCCATCTGTCAGCTGCCGCTAGACAGCAGAGGGAGCCCAGCAGAGGGGAGAGAGGGGGCACTCAGAGGGTTGTCTGTGCAAAGGTGGTTCTTGCAGAATCAGAGAAAGGTTGTCAGTTCCTACTCCTTCCGCCCAGAGCCCCCAGAGCGAGGATCCTGACCCTCCCTCTTTCTAGCTGCGTGACCCTGGTTGAGTGCGCTCCTCACAGGTGAGGTTCAAGGAGGGGCGGGGCATCCTGCCTGGAGGTCTTCCAGATGGGGAATCCAGGCCCTAAAAAGGCATAATGACTCTGAGCTGTGTGTTCCCCCAGCAGAGAGTACTGAGCCAGAAGGGAAGGAGGGAGACTGAGGCACCTCGGAATCACTATAGGGGGTGTGGGGACTGCACTGAGGCCTGTGGGGAGGAAGGAGGGAGGACACAGCTGCTGCTGCCTCAAAGATGCCCCCCACACTAGGCTGCCTGAAAGCAGCCCCTGCAAACTGTGAACTCAGAAGAGCCTCTCTCTTCCTGGCCCCCTCCTCTCCTTCCTCTTATCCCCCCAACTTTGCAGCCTTCCCTGACTTCCTCTTTTCATTGGATAACAGACAGACACTCACCAGGGCCGGGTGTTCACGTGTGTTCATATGTGTCAGTGTGCACACGTATGTGTGCGCCCATGCATGTTTTTGTGTGGGTGTGTGCACGCGTGCGTGTGTGCATTGTGCGGTGTGCGTTGGGTGCACACGTGCATGCGTGTGCCTTGTGTTGTGTGCGTGTGTGTGTGCGTGTGTGTGTGTATATGTGTGTGTGTGCGTGCGCGCGTGCCTGACCGCGGCGTGCGTGCCGGCGGGAGGAGGGGGCGCCGAGGCCGGGCAGGGGATTTAAAGCTGCTTTCGCGGCTGCCGGCGTGAGCGCTCCTGATAAACAGCCCGGAGCCGAGCCGCCGCGCAGCCGGGCGGGAGGCTGCGTATCAGAGCTCCTGGCAGGCTCGCAAAAAGCTGTCCCCGGCCCGCCGCCGCTCTATCAGCCCACGGAGGGAGGGCGGCGGGGGAGGGAGGGAAAAAGTATTTGCTTCAGCCCTTAATCACGGAATTTGAAATCCCAGCGAGTCGGTGCCATTTATTTTCAGAGGCTGTCAAGGCTGGTTTCAGCATTTAAAAGAAAGGAGGATAAAAAGCATTTGCATTTCTCCCCCACTCTCGCTGCGCGCTCGCCGGCGCTCCCCCTCGTTCTCTGCGCAGCTCGCGGGTCGGGCTTTGGCGGGGGAGGCCGGAGGCTTTTCAAGGCGCTGGGGGCTCCGGCCCGCCCGGTGAGGGCCTGCCCCCGCCAGGGTCAGGGGTGTCGGGCGATTCCAGGGTGGAGGCCCGAGTCTGGTCCAGCGGGTCTCTGGGTGGCAGAGGGAGGAAGGTTAAAGCGGGGCTGCTGGCTTGGGGAAGTTGGGGGCCGTCCGCGGGGCTCTCCTCGAGCTCCAAGCTTTCACCCCAGAAAAGACCCCAAATTTGCTCCAGCCCCAGGGGGCCCTACCTGCCCTTCCTGGCTTCCCCAGTGGAAATCTAAGATACTGGGGGCTTCCAGGGGAGCCAGGGCACCCCTAGGACAACCCCCTCCCCCTGCAGATGGGGAAACTGAGGCCTGGAAACAGAGAACAGTGGGGCCAAGGTCACATGATGGCGGAAGGAGGACAAGGAGAGGCTGACTGTGTAGCCAGCACGTGTTCCATGCCAAGCCTGCGCGGGGGGCCAAGGACCGGGGTCTCTGGACAGCGCTGCTTGCTCGGTCCCACGCTGGGCGACAGGGCCTTTGCAGTCAGGCCGACAGGGTTTGAACCCTTGCCACGGCACTTTCCAGATGGCCTTGGCCACTGTCCCCTCTCTGACCTTCAGATGGAGCCCATGGCACCTGCGGAGAGGGTGTGTGCTTCAAGGACTAAATCCACTTGTGTGTGGTTTGGCAAGAGGTGGGGGGAGGCGGCTCAGCCACCCGGACCTTTCCTGCCTCCACCCTCTGTTTAACCCCTTTCCCTGCCTTTTGTCTCTGTTGCTTTTGGGGGGTGATTAGCTCAGCGGCTAGAGGATTCTCTCCCAGAAGAGGCTCTGGAGTTGAGGCCCAGACCCTCAGGGCAAGATGGAATCTACTTGCCAGGGCACTCTCTGAGACTGTTTCCCAACTGGGAAAATGAGAAAACTCACTTATGGTCAGAGGCCCCTGAGTTAATGCCAGTGAATTCCTTGGCAGAGCATCAAGCACTTGGAGAAGCCCCACCCCCGGGTCATTGTGATGATTTTTGTTATTTATGTGCCCACCTGCCACACTCCGTAGATTCCAGGCCCCTCGAGGCCAGGACTGCACCGTTCATCTTGGAATTCGCTTGTTTCTGACTTAGGGGAGTCGCGCTGAGACACTGCTTAGCGCCCATGCCAGGGAGGAAGCAAGACAGCAGGAGCGAGGAAAGAACCCCAGGCTGTGATGAGGAAGCCTCCTACTTTTGCCTGAAGTGAGGTTGGTTTTTTTTGTTTTTTGTTTTTTTTGTTTCACATGCCTTATTCATCTGTGTAACCTCAGCCTCTAGTGCAGCATCCTATGTTTTGGCTTCTATGATTATTTTTAATTGACACATAATAATTGTACATATTTATGGGGTGCGATATATTTCAGTACACGTATACAATATATAGTGATCGAATCAGGGTAATTAGCATATTGGAGTTTTTCTGTCGATATAGATACTTACAGAAACTTTTTTGTGTGTGAGATAGGGTCTTGCTCTCTTGCCTATGCTGGAGTGCAGTGGCATGATCGGAGCTCAAGCCATCCTCCCACCTCAGCCTCCCAAGCAGCGGGACTACAGGCACAGGCCACCAAACCTGGTAAATTTTTAATTTCTTCTAGATACAGAATCTCACTATGTTGTCCACGCTGGTCTCAAACTCCTGGGTGGAAGTGGTTCTTCCACCTTGGCCTCCCAAAGTGCTGGGATTACAGGTGGAAGCCCCTACGCTTGCCTAAAAATGCCAGTCAATATTATATGTCCTGTTTGGCAATTTATTGCACCTCGTTATTTTTCCTGGCTGCATAGTATTCCGTTGTACACATACCTGTATGTGGTTATCCAGTCCCCAGAGGATGGGCACATAGGTTGTGTCTAGTTTTGTCCTCTGACCTCAGGACTGCAGAGAACAGGCTGACCTCATACAGCAGGCATCATTATTGGTGTCAGAGGGCCCCCTGCTCTGATAGTCACAGAGAGGCACAGGTGGCTGTGGGAAGCTCTGTCCCCTTTGATAGGGAAAGGCAGTTTAGGGCTCTGAAAAGCCAAGTCTGGAAGGGAAATGGTGTCAGGGAAACCAGCATAGAAGTCCCTATCTGGCCATCTTGGGGGAACTCAAAGCCTCGAGTCCACAGTGGGCACCTGACTCAGCAGGGAGGAGGGGTGGGAGGCCTGGAGGTCTGTGGCAAAGCAGGCAGGGCTTTCCTTCTTGATTCTTTATTTCTTTTCTCTCTTCCTTCCTTCCTTCTTTTCTTTCTTTCTTTCTTTTTTTTTTTTTTTGAGAGGGAGTCTCGCTCTGTCACCCAGGCTGGAGTGCAGTGGCCGGATCTCAGCTCACTGCAAGCTCCGCCTCCCGGGTTTACACCATTCTCCTGCCTCAGCCTCCCAAGTAACTGGGACTATAGGCGCCCGCCACCTCGCCTAGCTAGGTTTTTGTATTTTTTTTAGTAGAGACGGGGTTTCACCATATTAGCCAGGATGGTCTCGATCTCCTGACCTCGTGATCCGCCCATCTCGGCCTCCCAAAGTACTGGGATTACAGGCTTGAGCCACCACGCCTGGCCTCTTTCTTTCTCTTTCTTTCTTTCTTTCTTTCTTTCTTTCTTTCTTTCTTTCTTTCTTTCTTTCTTTCTTTCTTTTTCTTTCTTTCTTTTTCTTTCTTTCTTTCTTTCCTTTCTTTCTCTTTTTCTTTCTTTCTTTCTTTCTTTTTCTTTCTTTCTTTCTTTCTTTTCTTCCTTCCTTCCTTCCTTCTTCCTCCTCCTCCTCCTTCTTCTTCTTCTTCTTTTCTTTCTTTCTTTCTCTTTCTTTCTTTCTCTCTCTCTCTTCCTTTATTTTTTTTTTTGAGACAGACTCTTGCTTTGTCACCCAGGCTGATGTGTAGTGGTGTGATCTCCGCTCACTTCACCCTTTACCTCCCAGGTTCAAGCCATTCTCCTGCCTCAGCCTCCCAAGTAGCTGGGACTACAGGTGTGCACCAACACAGCCAGATAATTTTTGTATTTTTAGTGGAGATGGGATTGCGCCATATTGGCCAGGCTGGTCTCAAACTTCTGGCCTCAAATGATCCACCCACCTCGGCTCCCAAAGTGCTGGGATGACAGACATGAGCCTCCGCACCTGGCCACCTTCATGATTCTGTTGTTTGTGCCTCAGAGGGAACATTCATAGTGTGGCTTATGAAGTCTAGCCAACCTCCATCGGTTCCAAGCTCCAGCACCTCAGAGGCTCCGTTTCCCAATCTGTAATAAGAGGACAGTAATGGCACCCACCTCACAGGGTGGCTGTGAGGGCTCCGTGAGAGAGTCCAGGCAAAATTTTTCAGCGAGTTTCCTGAAATCCTGTGAGGTCTCGGGGAAGGCTTGCTATCATTGTTATTGTTTCTAATAATGGCATTTTCAGAAATCTGAATGTAAGAAGACCTTCTCTGAATTGGGTGTCAAAACCAGAAAAAGTCTGTGGTGGGATGTGTGTGTGTGTGTGTATCCCTCTCACACCGTCCCCTGCACGTGGGCCCGGGTCCCTGCCTGGTACTCTTTCTCACTATCTGGGACCCCCTAGATTAAATCCGTCTCTCCAAGAATCACTGTCTTGCCCTCTCTGTCCTTCCGTGACCTGGGCGGCCTGGGAGGAGCAGAAGTGTCCCCCACCCCACCCTGTCCGCACCACCACTTCCCCATCCGGCCCCACCCTCAGCCTCCTTAATACAGGCCCACCTGGGGCCTCAGTGCCCAGTCCTCCCAGCTCCCGCCCCAGCTGTGCTTGAGTCCTGGATCTATCGTCACCCCTTGCTGTGGGAAGTGGCTTTAACCTCCCTGGGCCTCAGTTTCTTCATCTGTAAAATGAGGAGCATAATAAAAAGAACATAAGATTTTTCTGCCCCCCTGCCCAGCCCTGCTGAAACAAACAAGCAGACAAGAAATTCACAACAAGAAATTCACTTAGAGCCTGGGAGATTTAGCAGCAAAGGAGCGATCAGAGGGTCACAAGGTCCTGGGATGCACAAGGCTCCTTCTCTCCCTTTCCTCCAGGAGGAGTTGGATTTACTTATGTAAACCCCCGCCCTCCCTTGGCCCTGTGCGCTCTGGGGAATGGGCTAGATTCGCAGGCAGGGTGGAGGCAGAGCTGAGCTGAAAGGTGGGGTGTGGGCTCCCCCAGAGCAAGCTCTTCCAGCACCCTGGTGGGGTGTGCAGCTGCATTGCTGGCTCAAGACGCCCCCACACCCAACTAAGATCTTTTTTTCGAGACGGAGCTTCTCCCAGGCTGGAGTGCAATGGCGCGATCTCAACTCATTGCAACCTCCGCCTCCCAGGTTCAAGCGATTCTCCTGCCTCAGCTTCCCACGTCGCTGGGATTACAGACATGCACCACCATGCCTGGCTAATTTTTGTATTTTTAGTAAAGACAGGGTTTTGCCATGTTGGCCAGGCTGGTCTCGAACTCCTGACCTCAGGTGATTCACCTGCCTCGGCCTCCCAAAGTGTTGGGATTACGGGCGTGAGCCACCACGCCTGGCCTCAACTCAGATCTTTAACTCCGCTACCATTTGTGAGTGTTCGGCGTGGGCTACATCCTAGGCCAAGCATTTTCTCACCCTGGCCTCAAGAAGAAGGTGGAACAGGGGTAAGACCTGAGAAGCGTGTAGACCTACAGGGTTTTCTCAGTCTGTCAGTCAGTCTTGTTTATGATCGATGAACAAGTCTCTCCCTCTTCCCCCTCTCAAAGCCTCAGTTTTCTTACCTATAAAATGGGGCTACATGAGGAGCCAATGAGCTAAGTGTGTGAAGCTGCTGGCACAAATCCCCACACGTGGTAAGCCTTAACCAGTGCCAACCGGATGATAGATGGTGCCATTGTGCCCAGCAATTCCTTTCCCTGAGCAGGTTATACCACCCTGTCCCCAGAACGTCCTTCCACGCCCTCTGAAGAGGCTTGGCCATGTGACTTACTCTGGCCAATGAAATGTGAGCAGAAGTGACCACACATCAGTGGCCAACAGAAGCTTTAAAAACTATACCTGTAGTCCTAGCTACTTGGGAAACTGAGGTGGGAGGATTGCCTGAGTTCAGGAGTTCGAGGCTGCAGTGAGCTGATTGTGCCACTGCACTCCAGCCTAGGTGACAAGAGTAAGATCCTGTCTCAAAAAAAAAAAAAAAAAAAGGCTGGGCACGGTGGCTCACACCTGTAATCCCAGCACTTTGGGAAGCCAAGGTGGGTGGATCACCTGAGGTCAGGAGTTGGACACCAGCCTGGCCAACATGATGAAACTCCGTCTCTACTAAAAATAGAAAAAAGGCCAAGCACAGTAGCTCACGCCTATAATCCCAGCACTTTGGGAGGCTGAGACGGGTGGATCACGAGGTCAGGAGATCGAGACCATCCTGGCTAACACGGTGAAACCCTGTCTCTACTAAAAATACAAAAAATTAGCCGGGCGTGGTGGTGGGCACCTGTAGTCCCAGCTACTTGGGAGGCTAAGGCAGGAAAATGGCGTGAACCCAGGAGGCAGAGCTTGCAGTGAGCTGAGATCACACCGCTGCACTCCGGCCTAAGCAACAGAGCAAGACTCTGTCTCAAAAAAAAAAAAAAAAAAAAAAAAATTAGCTGGGCGTGGCGGCACGCACCTGTAATTCCAGCCACTCAGGAGGTGGAAGCAAGAGAATCACTTGAACCCAGGAGGTGGAGGTTGCAGTGAGCCGAGATCATGCCATTGCACTCCAGCCTGGGCAACAAGAGTGAAACTCCGTCTCAAAAAAATAAATAAATAAATAAAAATGGCGATTTGACCCAGACATGTTCAGAGGGAAGATGACATGGAGTCCCTGGGGAGAAATCAAGTATCCATAAACCAATGTGGGAGGCTTGGAACAGATCCTTCCCTATGGCCCTCATAAGGAACCAACCTGCTGACACCTTCATCTTGGATTCCCAGCCTCCCAAACCGTGAAACAATGTGGTTCTGGTGTTTCAGACAACCAGGACTTTGTGACCACAGCCCTAGCAAGCGAATACATAACGCCGCATTTCACAGGACCCTACGGACAGGAGACGCGCCCTAACGGAATTAGCCTACTTGCAAGCAGAAATGAAAGGGAAAGAGAAAATCCAGAAATGTTGGATTTGCAGGATTGAAAAAGGCAACTATTCCTCATCTCCATCCAATGAAAAAGCAACTGAGTGCTCCAAGCGCTCAGTGCCCAAAGGTCCACAGCCCGTGGGAGGATCCAGACACTGTCACATGCAGGAGGCCACCTGTGCTGCAGGAGGCTGAGCTTGGATGCTGTGCCCCCAGCTGGGAGAAGGTTGGGGTGGGCCAGGGAAGCTGTGCTTGGGCAGAAACCACTTATCCCTGAGTTGGAAAAAGGTGCGATCCAGTTCTCCACTCCATCCTGCCGGTTCGTCACCCAGACAACCTAGAGTGAGCACCCAGGGCCATTTTTGGAAAATCCTGCTCTTTTGCATAATAAGTGGGCAAAACAGACACAGTCCCTGCCCCTCTGGCAGTTCATCGCTTCTGCAAGACTCAAGTGCCAAATGACATTTTAGAAAAAATTTCTGACATATTTGCGCTTGGAACACACATATGATCTTGGAGCAGATAAGAGTTTTAAATTTAACTTTGTCTGTCCCCAGAAATGTATTGTTCGAGAAGTCTAATTGTGAATTTTAAACTTACTTTCTTCTTCTTCCTCTTCTCCTCCTCCTCCTTCTTCCTCTTCCTCTTCCTCTATTTCTTCTTCCTCTTCTCCTCCTTCTCCTTCTCCTCCTCCTCCTCCTCCTCCTCCTCCTTCTCCTTCTCCTTCTCCTCCTCCTACTCCTCTTTTTTTTTGAAACAGGGTCTTACTCTGTTGCCCAACGCTGGAATGCAGTGACGTGATCCCAGCTCACTGCAGCCTTGACCTCCTGGGCTCAAGCAATCCTCCTTCCTCAGCCTCCTGAGTAGCTGGGATCACAGGCACGTGCCACCATGCCCAGCTGATTATGAATATTAAACTTTCTGTAAAGACTCTTTAAAATGAGCACTCTACAAATAGTCGGTAAAGACTATTCTAGGCTTAAGAAAATAATGATAAAACTAAGAAACACTCTGTGTGATAGAGCCCAGTTAAGACTCAGTCTCAGGGTGAAGATTACACCAAGGGTGTGGCCATCACACCCTTTGTTGAAACCTCAGAAAAGCTTGCAGGCCCACAGTTCCGTCTAGATACCCTGACAAAGAAGCAAATCCGATCTGTCTTTTTTTTTTTTTTGAGACAGAGTTTCACTCTGTTGCCCAGGCTGGAGTGCAATGGTACGATCTCGGCTCACTGCAACCTCTGCCTCCCGGGTTCAAGCGATTCTCCTTCCTCAGCCTCCCGAGTAGCTGGGATTACAGGCATGCGCCATCATGCCCGGCTAATTTTGGATTTTTAGTAGAGACAGGGTTTCTCCATGTTGTTCAGGCTGGTCCTGAACTCCCGACCTCAAGTGATCCATCTGCCTCGGCCTCCCAAAGTGCTGGGATTACAGGCGTGAGCCACTGTGCCTGGCCTTGGGTGTATCTTTGGCATAAAGAGCTGAGTGACAGCCATTGAGCAAAAGTTACAAAGTTGTGAAGAGGGTGGCCCTGTCCGCAGAGCTGTCAGCTGGATTAAAAGAGGCTGTGACCATCCATGACACAAAACCACCTCTGGGCGCCAACGAGGAAGCTGCTCAGCCCGCAGGGAGACCCTCTTCTCCAGGGACCTCATCCCGTGTGGCCAAGGAGGTTATAGAAAAGGAGGCCTCCCAGAGGACGGCCCAAGCGCAGGAGAACAGGGGGGTCGGGAGTAATTTCCAGAGAGCACCATGGGGCCTGGTTAAGGGGTTTCTTTCCCCCGGGGCAGGTGGCACTTGCCGAATCCACCCAGCAGGACTCAGAACTGATGAGGATCAACACTTGCTACTCCTCCACTCCTCTCCTGTCTTTTTTTAAAATTTGTTGTTGTTGTTTGTTTGTGTGTTTGTTTTGACACGGAGTCTCACTCTGTCGCCCAGGCTGGAGGGCAGTGGCACAATCTCGGCTCACTGCAGCCTCCGCCTCCTGGGTTCAATTGATTCTCCTGCCTCAGCCTCCTGAGTAGCTGGGATTACAGGCGCCTGCCATCACGCCCAGCTAATTTTTGTATTTTTAGTACAGACAGGGTTTCACCATGTTAGCCAGGCTGGTCTCGAACTCCTGACCTCAGGTGATCAGCCCACCTCAGCCTCCCAAAGTACTGGGATTACAGGCGTGAGCCACCATGCTCCGCCCTTTTTAAATTTTTAAGACAGAGTTTTGCTCTGTTACCCAGGCTGGAATGCAGTGGTGTGAGATGGTTCATTGCAGCCTCAACCTCCCAGCTCAAGTGATCCTCCTGCTTCAGCCTCCTGAGTAGCTGGGACTGCAGGCATGCACCACTATACCTGGCTAATTTTTGTACTTTTTTTTTTTTTTTTTTTGAGACGGAGTCTCGCTCTGTCGCCCAGGCTGGAGTGCAGTGGCCGGATCTCAGCTCACTGCAAGCTCCGCCTCCCGGGTTCACGCCATTCTCCTGCCTCAGCCTCCTGAGTAGCTGGGACTACAGGCACCCACCACCTCGCCCGGCTAGTTTTTTGTATTTTTTAGTAGAGATAGGGTTTCACCATGTTAGCCAGGATGGTCTCGATCTCCTGACCTCGTGATCTGCCCGTCTCGGCCTCCCAAACTGCTGGGATTACGGGCTTGAGCCACCACATCCGGCCCTTTTTTGTACTGTTTTGTAGAGATGGGGTCTCACTGTGTTGCCCAGGCTAGTCTTAAACTCCTGGGCTCAAGCGACCCTCCCACCTTGGCCTCCCCAAATGCTGGGATTACAGGTGTGAGTCACCACACCACCTCCATTCTTCTCTTTTATTTTCTTTCTTAGTTTCTCCCTCCCTCCCTCCCTCCCTCCCTTCCTTCCTTCCTTCCTTCTCTCTCTCTCTTTCTTTCTTTCTTTCTTTGTTTCTTTCTTTCTTTCCTTTTCTCTCTCTCTCTCTTTCTTTCTTTTTTTCTTTGCTCTCACTGTATCACCCAGGCTGGAGTGCAGTGGCACAATCTTGGCTCACTGCAGCCTCCACTTCCTGGGTTCAAGCAATTCTCATGCCTCAGCCTCCCAAGTAGCTGGGATTACAGGTGCATGGAACCATGCCTGGCTAATTTTTGTATTTTTAGTAGAAATGGGTTTCGCCATGTTGTCCAGGCTGGTCTTGAACTCCTGGCCTCAAGTGATCCGCCTGCCTCAGCCTCCCAAAGTGCTGGGATCACAGACGTGAGCCATCACACCTGGCCTTGTTCTTCTCCTTTCTAACGGAGAGCGTTTGTGGGTCATTCTGTTCCTATTCCACCATTGTATGCTGAGTGTGTGTATTAGTTTGCTGGGGCCACCTTAACGAGATACTGGGTGGCTTCAACAATAAAAATGTATTTCCTCACAGCTCTGGAGGCTGGAAGTCCAAGATCAAGGTGCCAGTGGGGTTGGTTTCTTCCCTGTCTCCCTGACTCGCCTGTGTCCTCACGTGGCCTCCTCCCTGTGCACACCTGCCTGCTGTCTCAGTCTGTGAGTCCACATTTCCTTCATATAAGGACACTAGACACATTGGATTAAGGCCCATCCTGACGATTTCATTTTAACTGAATTACCACTTTACAGATCTTATCTCCAGCCAGGCGCAGAGGCTCACGCCTGTAACCCCAGCACTTTGCGAGGCTGAGGAAGGCAGATCTTTTGAGGTTAGAAGTCCGAGACCAGCCTGGCCAACATGGGGAAACCCCCTCTCTACTAAAAATACAAAAAAAAACAGCTCACGTTAAAAAATTACAAAAAAATTTGAGACTCATTTGAGGTCAGAAGTTCAAGACCAACCTGGTCAACATAGTGAAACCAAGTCTCTACTAAAATCCAAAAAAAAAAAAAAAAGGCCAAACTAAAAAACTCAGCATGCATCCCAACTACACAGGAGGCAGAGACACAAGAATCGCTCGAACCTGGGAAACAGAGGTTGCAGCGAGCAGCCGAGATCATACCACCGTGCTCTAGCCTGAGCGACAGAGTGAGGCTGCATCTCAAAAAAAAAAAAAAATCTTATCTCCAAATACGTTACTTTGTAAAGTACTGGAGGTGGGGGCTTCAACATCTGAATTTGGGTGGGGAGACAATTGAACCCATAACAGTGTGTGAGACCAGAAAATTCCTCCCGCCACCCCATTTACAGGTCTCTTATGGGGAGACACATTGACGGGGGACACTCGCTGGGTTGTGTTTCACTGGTGGCTGGGCTGGAGGGTCCACAAAGGCTCACGTCATGTGAGTGGCACCTCAGGGCTCTTCCACAGGCCCTTCTCTCCATGCAGCTCTCTTGGGCTTCCTCACAGCATGGCGGGTTTTTTCACCGTGGCTGGCTTCCAAGAGGAAGCACTTCAAGCTGGGTGAGAGCAGATGCCTCAAATCTCTGCAGCCTCAGCCTCGGAAATCACACAGCGTTGCTTCTGCTGCATCCTGTTGATGAAAGCCAATTCTGGAGTCAGCCCAGATCCAAGGGGAGGAGGAAAAGACTCCATGCCTTGCTGGGAGGAATGACTAAGAATCTGCAACCATCTCCAATCCACCACGCCCATGCAAGAGACGGGAGTGATACTTGCAACCAAGATGGTGAACAGCAGCAGATTGGTCACTGTTTCCAGTTATTCACCATCCTCCCAGTGAAAGGATTATCCATCCTGCCCCATTGCTACGTGACATGCAGAATGTCCGGTGCTAGGTACACTTCCCCTCCCCACCAAATCATGTTTGGTCACGTGACTTGCTTTAGCCAGTGAATCCAGAGCCCAAGTCCTATCAGGCCATTCAAAGGAGAAGCTTCAAGAGCTGTCACGTGAGTTAGCCAACCTGCCTGCACTTTTCCCTTTAAACAGAGCTGTGTTTTCTAGAGAGGGGCCTCAGACAAGCCTCCCTGTTCCACAGAATACAAATCCAATTGGTAAGACTTCTATCCATCTTAAGAAACCTTTATATTTTTAAATCTCTCCATTCTCAAATATTCAAAGCCCTTAAATTCATTGATTTTTCTAGAAGTAACACCTGGCAAGTTTGGTATCTCAAGGCACCACCCATTCCTTCTTAATCCACAAGAACTCCCTGAGGGTGAGGAACCTGGGAGGTCACCACAGCCTGCAAATTCGAGCCTGGATATAGTGAGTGTCTGGAGTGGACGGACTTTCTGCAGGTGTGTGCACATTGTCGGCCAAATCTCAGCCTCGAACTGTGTCCTGAGCTTAGGACTCCTCCTGGCTCTCTTCTGGGAACATTGTGGCTCAGAGAGGTTAAGTGAGTTGCCCAAGGTCACTCAGGTAGAAAGTGGCAGGGCCAAGACTAGACCCCAGGGCCATCTTGCTCCAAAGTTCTTAACCACTAGACTTTCTGGCTCTCACCCTGTACGTGGGTTGCAGATATTTGGTTTTGTTATTTTATTTTATTTTTATTTTTATTTTATTTTATTTTATTTATTTTATTTTATTTTATTTTATTTTATTTTATTTTGAGACAGGGTCTCTGTCTGTCATCTAGGCTGGAGTGCAACAGCACAATCATGGCTCACTACAGCCTCGACCTCCCTGGGCTCAGGTGATTCTCCCACCTCAGCCTCCTGAGTAGCTGGGACCATAGGTGCATGCTACCACATCTGGCTAATTTTTGTTTTTTTTTTTTTTAGATGGAGTTTTGCTCTTGTTGCCCAGGCTGGAGTGCAATGGCATGATCTCTGCTCACTGAAGCCTTCACCTCTGGGGTTCAAGCTATTCTCCTCCCTCAGCCTCCCTAGTAGCTGGGATTACAGGCATGCACCACCATGCCCAGCTAATTTTGTATTTTTAGTAGATACAGGGTTTCTCCATATTGGTCAGGCTGGTCTCGAACTTCTGACCTTGGATGATCCTCCCTCCTCGGCATCCCAAAATGCTGGGATTACAGGCGTGAGCCACCGTGCCCAGCCATTTTTGCTTTTTTTTTTTTTTTTTTTTGTAGTAATGAGCTTTTGCCATCTTGCCTAGGCTGGTCTCAAACTGCTAGGCTTAATCGACCTGCCCACCTCAACCTCCCAAAGTGCTGGGATTACAGGCGTGAGCCATGGTGCTGGCCCTAGATATTTGTTAAGTGGACGAATAAACTATCCAATGGTTCCTTTGGAAACCTGAAAGGTTTTGGATGCAGTGACAGAGGTGCTCTAATCTCAAGGATTGGCTAAAAGTCATAGGAACTTGGGGCGGGGTAGGGTACACTGAACGGGGTCCACTGTCTCCCCAACTCTACCTCCTCTGCCCTCAGAGGAGAATCTGGTGTTTGTAATGCAGAATATGGAGAATGTGTACAAATGATAGCGACACTGACATTTACTGAGAGATAGCAATGCCCAGCCCCCAGCCTCAGAGCCCCCCCCCCCCCAATTTTACTCCTTTACATCTTCTCAGGGATGTGATGAGGTTAGAGACCATCATTATTCCCATTTCACTAGTGAGAAAACTGAGGCACACAGTAGGCTGAGTCCATGCCTCCCAAACTATCTGTGATGAAGGAACTTCGAGAAAAAATGTTGCAATCTGTCAGGAATTATATTTTTATAATACACACAGTCACAATGGGATGTAGGCAGTGTCAAATTGCTATGAAAGTTGCTAAATGCTTATTCTCAGTTCTATACTTAGCATGTCGTGTCCACAAACAGTGTGTGGTCCAGCACCGGTCCTCGGACCACACCTTGGGTAGCACGGGGTCAAGTCACAGCGTGTGACTGGTGGGGCCAGGATTTGGACCCAGAGTGTCTCACTCCAGAGCGTGGGCTCTGAACCACTCACCAGAGGGGCATGGATCATGAGGACGAGCAGGGAAGGGTCTGCCCACTGAGCAGATTACATAACAAATATCCGAGGGAGAAGGGGGAGAACGCAGGCTGGTGTCAGGACTGCCGGAGCCTCCGGCAGGCACAAAACAACAGCCTGTCTATGGAGAGAACCGGAGCAAGGGAACAGGCGCTGGTAAGAACTATTGCTGTGGGGTTTGAACTCGGCCCCTTTGAGGTTCTTTGGGAGTCACAAGGACATTCAGAAAGTTCGTTTAAATGACTTACGACTGCTGGATTATCAGGTCCCAGGAGGCAGAGACTGAGCTACGTGGAAGCCCAGCTTTTATTTGGGTTACACCGGCACTAGTATGGGCTTCCGCGCATCTCTCTCCACTCCCACATAAGTTATTTATGCTTATTTTATTACTTCTTTTTTTTTCTTGAGACGGAGTCTTGCTCTGTCACCCAGGCTGGAGTGCAGCGGCGTGATCTCGGCTCACTCCAACCTCCGCCTCCCGAGTTCAAACGATTCTCCTGCCTCAGCCTCCTGAGTAGCTGGGATTACAGGCTTGCACCAGCAGGCCTGGCTAATTTTTGTATTTTTAGTAGAGACAGGGTTTCACCATGTTGGCCAGGATGGTCTCGAACTCCTGACCTCATGATCTGCCCACCTTGGCCTCCCAAAGGACTGAGATTATAGGTGTGAGCCACCGAGCCTGGCCTTTTCTTTTTGAGATAAGATCTCACTCTGTCGCCCAGGCTGGAGGGCAATGGCACCATCTCGGCTCACTGCAGCCTCGACTTCCCAAGCTCAGGCAATCCTCCCACCTCAGCCTCTTGAGTAGCTGTGACTATAGGCATACACCACCACTCCCTTTTTTTTTTTTTTTTTGAGACGGGGTCTCACTGTGTCACCCAGGCCGGAGTGCAGTGGCCGGATCTCAGCTCACTGCAAGCTCCGCCTCCCGGGTTTATGCCATTCTCCTGCCTCAGCCTCCCGAGTAGCTGGGACTACAGGCACCAGCCACCTCGCCCGGCTAGTTTTTTTGTATTTTTTTAGTAGAGATGGGGTTTCACCGTGTTAGCCAGGAGGGTCTCGATCTCCTGACCTCCTGATCCGCCTGTCTCGGCCTCCCAAAGTGCTGGGATTACAGGCTTGAGCCACCGCGCCCGGCCTTTTTTTTTTTTGTATTTTTAGTAGAGACAAGTTCGCCTTGTTGCCCGGGTTGGTCTCAAACTCCTGGGCTCCAGTGATCCACCCACCTCAGTCTCTCAAAGTGTTGGAATTACAGATGTGAGCCAACGTGCCCAGTCCACTCCCAAAGAATTTAAAACACCACTAAATTAGTACCTCCTGAGGGTTCAGTGAATACTCCTGGGGTTAGTGAAGAATGAATACACAGATAAGGGATCCGCCATAAAGTCATCTTTTCATGTCCACTGTGTGCAAGGCTCGAAGCAAATGCCAGATACAGAGGGCCAGGAGGAGACCCAACCCCTTCTACTATCAAAGGGGGTCAGCCAAAGAGGGTCATCGATGAGGGATGGGATTAAGAGTGGCTGTATTAGTCTGGATGCGGTGGCTCATGTCTGTAATCCCAGCACTTTGGGAGGCCGAGGTGGATGGATTGCCTGAGGCCCGGGGTTCGAGACCAGCCTGGCCAACATGGCAAAACCCTGTCTCTAATACATAAAAAAAAAAAAAAAAGAGTGAGTGGTTATATTTTCTTCATCGGATTCATCTGTATTTTCTACAATATCTACAATAGGCATGCATTACTTATGTAATAAGGATGAGATTATTTTGGCAAAAATGCCACAGTTCCCACTTTAAGCTTGCCCCTAGTTCAGCTGGAGAAAAGACGGTTGGCCCATTGAGGGTAAGGATACCACAGACAAAAGTGCTCAATACATGTCTGGGTTACATGTCAGTCACGCACCAGGAGCGGAAAAGGAGGAAGAGGCCTTTCTGAGAAGGGTTTCTTTTCTTTGTCTCTTTCTCTATCTCCTGCCCCTGCCGGTGCCGCCGCCCCTAGTGTGGAAGCTCACTGTGGACAAGGTCAGTCTGCGTGGGGCTGTTCCCTCCACTGGGGCAGGGTCTGTGACAGCCACAATCGCCCCAGCATGGCTGGCAGGGTCAGCTCCTTCCTGGATGGCTGACGTCTCCTTCCAGCTCTCTGTTCAGTTTCCAAGGGGACCAGGGACAGAGAAAGGCAGGCAGCACAGCCCCCGGACCTGCAGAGCCACAGCAGAGAGGTGCTGCTTCACGTCCCCCTGGGCCTCGGTGGCCCTGGCCCTGCCACAGCCACGGCTGCCTCCTCCCTCCCACTTACTTCCGGTCACCTGGCTGGCGGGTCCCTGGGGGCAGAACACAGGGTCCCCAGCTTTGCTCTTCGCTCTCCTCCCAGCTCCTGCCTCTGTTTCTGGCTGCCTCAGCGGCTGCTCAAGGTCAAGGAACAAACAGATAAACCCTTTCTCTGGAGCCGGCTCGGAGAGGACGCCTCCAGCTAGAATCCAATTCTGAGTCAGGGCCAGGGCTCTCTCTTTCCTGCAAATGTGAAGACAGGAAGGAAATTTTTGCAGCCATAAAATCGGTAAAAATGTTTTGTAGGCAGAGAAGAGGCCAAGCCGTTGGCTTTGGTTTAAGGCACAAACAGCAAATGGGAACGGTCAGACCCAGGGAGGGAGGGCCTGGGGAGTAAACTCTAATATTCGGGCAGCCAGAGCAAGACTTTTGTTGCCCCAGGGCCAATCGGGTGTTGGACATGGCGTGGAGGACACGGACTTGGTCCCCAGCTCACAGGGATGGGATGATATGGGGGTCTGACCAGGCACTTGAAGACTCGGGACTCTTCTAGGCTGTTAGCCAAGACGGCCCAGGGGCTGGAGCCAGGACCATGGATTCAGAGATGCAGTGTGGACAGCAATGAATTTGATGGCTCTTATGTCTTAGAGGGATGGACCTGGAGCCCAGAGGAGTGGATATGGGCCAGCCTGGGAAGGTTCATTTAGGCTGTGGCGGGGATTTAGGACTTTATCCAGAAGGCAGCAGGAGGAATGACAATGGAGAGAGGGGGACGTGGCCCAGCTTATGTATTAGAAACACTCCTCTGACTGGCTGGGAGCAGTGGCTCACGCCTGTAATCCTAGCACTTGGGGAGGCCAAGGCGGGTGGATCACTTGAGGTCAGGAGTTCGAGACCAGCCTGACCAACATGGAGAAACCCCGTCTTTACTAAAAATACAAAAATTAGCTGGGTGTGGTGGTACATGCTTGTCATGCCAGCTACTCGGGAGGCTGAGGCAGGAGAGTCACTTGAACCCGGGAGGCGGAGGTTGCAGTGAGCCGAGATCGTGCCACTGTACTCCAGCCTGGGCAACAAGAGTGAAACTCCATCTCAAAAAAAATAAAAATAAAAAATAAAGAAAGACTCCTGTGACTGCACTGTGTGTGTGGCCTGGAGACAGGAAGGGCAGCAAGAAGGCGGCTGCCATACCAACCCATGTTGGTGACCAGGCAGGGCGAGGATGGTGGAGAGTCTAGGTGTGCTGTGGGCAGAATCGTTAGATCCTGGTGACTGGATATGGTGGGGCGTTGGGGAGAGAGGAAGGGGATAAGGCCGACACCCAGGAGCCCCAAGAGGAAGAAGAGG